CAGCTGGAAAATTGCAAATGTTATAGCCTTATTTAAAAAAGGGGGATAGTTCATTACCTTCCAATTATAGACCTATATCACTCATTAGTTGCATAGGCAAAGTCATGGAACGTGTTATATATAAATATGTTTACAACCACTTACAAAGAAATAAGTTAATTTATGAGTATCAATCGGGTTTTCTTCCTAAATGTTCAACGGTTCACCAACTGTTAGAAATATATAATTGCATATTGAACTCACTTGAAAAGAAAGAGATAAGTTGTTTTGTTTTTTTGCGATTTCTCCAAAGCCTTTGATAAAGTTTGGCATGATGGTTTATTACATAAAATGAAGGCTTATGGTATAAATGGAAATCTGTTAAAATGGTTTAGAAGCTACCTAAGTGATAGAAAACAAAGAGTGGTTATCAAGCAATCTTCTTCAAAACTTTGCAGTATTTCAGCTGGTGTCCCACAAGGGTCGGTCCTTGGACCATTACTTTTTATAATATATATTAATGATATTGCAGAAAGACTTATTCCTCTGTGCAGACTCTTTGCAGATGACACGTCGTTCAGCTGTGCGGATCGTGATGCATTGCAGATAGAAACTGTGATAAACCATGATCTGGAAAAGCTGAACGAATGGTCCAAAAAATGGTTAATGTCTTTTAATCCAGATAAAACAGAAATTATGTTATTTTCTAATGTTGAAATCCCAGAAATGAACTTTATATTCAATGATAAAAATATACCTATTACAAATATTCATAAACATTTAGGGGTTACATTTAGCAATGATGCTAAATGGAATGTCCACGTTGATAATATTATCTTAAGCACATCTAAACATATAAATATGCTAAGGAAGTTGAAATATAAACTTAGCAGAAAAAATTTAGAAAAACTCTATTTAGTTTTTATAAGACCTTTATTTGAGTATGCCAGTGAAGTTTGGGATAACATTGGGGTAGGTTATATCAATAAACTGGAGCAATTACAGCTCCAAGCTGCTAGAATAGTTACGGGGTTACCTATATTCACAAGCTCAAGGGTTATTTATGAAGAACTTGGATGGGAAACATTAGCTGAAAGAAGAGAGAGAAGAAAAATTCAAATGTTTTATAATATTCAAAAAAATAATGTTCCAGAATATTTGACAAATTTAATTCCCCCAAAAATCCAAAGTATGACGGTCTATCCTCTACGCAATGGAAATGACATTATTATTCCATTCTGCAGACTAGCATTGACTAATGATTTATTTATTCCATCAACCATACGTCTTTGGAATAATCTTGATAATTCAACTCGTGATGCGGAATCAATAAATAAATTTAAAACTGAACTAAAAAAACTTTACCCTCAGAGTAACATATTTGTACCGAAGCAATATGAGTTTGGAATTCGAAAACTGAATATTATTCTAACCCAATGTTTTGCATCATCCTTAAACTATGATCTATATAGGGTCAATATTATTTCTGACCCTTCTTGCCGCTGTGGTGTTAATCGTGAAGATTCCTATCATTTCTTTTTTAAATGTATATTATATTCAGACATACGAAATAGAATGTTTGAAAGTCTGCGCTGGCTTCCAAAAGATTGTAAAATTAACATAGAACTACTAACCTCGGGTAGTTGTCTTCTTTCTCTAGAGCAAAACCAAACCATTTTCAAAAATGTCTTCGAGTTTATTAAAAGTTCGGAAAGATTTCTAATTGTCTAGATAGCAAACCATGATCGCACACACATCATCATCTAAGTAAAAGTCTTCCTTTTTTTTTGTATTTTTGTTTGTTTAATTTGTATTTTATTTTTTGTTTTTGTTTTCTAAATATTCATTTATTTATTTTATATATTTATTTTTTCTGTATTATTGTTTTCTTTCTGTCTTCACTTTTCTGTCTTTTGACATAAATCCATATATATATATATATATTAAATAGATATACCATTCTATACATGCATGCTCATACATATATTTTGTATTATATTACTATAAATGTTGAATGGAGAAGACTTCATAAGTCTGTTTGACTTGTGTCTTATCCAATTTGTACTTGAACAAATAAAATATGTTTAAACTAAACTCTCTTTAATCATGAAACACTGAACAATTACGTAAAGTATAATGAACAAAACAAAAACAAAATTCGTTTCAGACGCAAAGAGATCGGGTTAAAAGCATATGGTTTAAAAGTGAAAGCATTTCTTAGTTTAGATTATTCAAAACTTTTCTTCCTTAATGAAAATACATTTACTGGGGTAAAATTTTTTATATTAATAAAAAATAATACATTTAAATGGCAATTTTGAACCTCCAGAAAAGACATCTAGGATTTTTGAACTATATAAAAACCCAACAGAGGACCACATGTGGTTTATTTTGCATATAGAAATTTCTACGAAATTTATGAAATTTCTGCCAATCAGTACGGTGTAGACCTCTTGAAATTTGTATCCACAAATCAAGTGATAGGATTTCAAATGTGAACATCTTCTCCTAGTTTTAAATTGTCGAAACAATTTCAAAAGAAACACTGAGTAGCAAACGATACAGAGGAAGGTTGACACAACGTGATGAAAAAACTCACGCAGTACTTTGAACGAAATAATTTAACCAGGGGAATTACTAAACAAGCGATAATCCAACAATTTAATGAGATAGTCAATTTGAAAGCGAGACAAGTGTGTTGTTGACGGGGAAGGGGAGGGGTGCCACAGCAGAGGGCTTGAGATTAATACAAGTTGCTTTTAAAAAAAAAAAGACAATACGTGAACCTTAGAACTTTTTTATGCTATTTATCAATTCAACTAAATTAAAAATTATATCTCAGTGCTTTCATGGCCATGTGAGTGGAGGATGATATTTTCTTTTTAAATTATTTTAAATCATGACAATATGAGAGTGGTGTTAATTATAAAGTGAGATGAAAATAAAAAAGGAATGTGTCCATGGGACATACATGATGCCCCTGCTTGCATATCATATAAAATTTTAAAGGGACATAACTGAAGAACGGTAAAAGTGACTCTACCCAAATTTGTAGTTGATCTGACTTTTGTGGTAATAGGTATTGTGTATAAGTTTCATAATATATGATTGAGGCAAACTTAAATAAGAGAACGGAAACTTTTATGTTTGAAAAGGGCATAACTCTAGAACAGTAAACGTTACACAACAAAAATTCTAACTTGATCTGTGTTTTGTGGTAATAAGCATTGTATATAAGTCTCATATCATTTGGTTGAGGAAAACTAAAGTTAGAGAACGGAAATAAAAAATTCAGCAATTTTCATTTGAAAAGGGGCATAATTCTAGAACGGTTAAAGTGACGCCACCAATTTCAAACTTGATCTGTATTTTGTGGTAATAAGCATTGTGTATAAGTTTCATAACATTTGTTTGAGGCAAACTTAAGTTAGAGAACGGAAACCAACTCAGTTAAGGGTAAAACGTAATGCCCCACCGCTACGTAGGGGGCATGAAAAGGAATTGGATTCCCAGACGTATACTTTCTTAAAGAATGATAATGATTCAAAACATGGACACATGTACCTTCTTTTAAAAATTCATAAAATAAATCTAGACATAATTAATGATACATTGCGAACTGGTCAGATAGTAGGAGACATTAAATGTTCCTTACCGACCAATTATCAATAAGTGTAACTCTCCCACGAGACGCATTGAGAGATTTCTTGATCTAATTATAAAACCATTATTGAAGAGGCTTAACTAACTTTTACATTCGAGATACAAAAGATTTCATTAATAAAATTGAGTCACACGAGGTCAAAAAAAAAGCATATAAACGCATGCCAACAAGAATACCTTGCGAGGTAGTAGTTGGGAGACTTTTGAAAGGACCCATGCTTAAACAATTTTAAGCAAAAAATCCCGAAATCTGATAAAATTCTGAATTTATAGGCAACAAACATTTATTTAGTTAGCAAAAACGGTTTAAAGTCTTGAGATTTATTACGTATGTTGATTGAAGGAACCGCATTTCATAATAATTTTTAATTTTAAAACACAATTTCATAAATTCAGATATATTTATTAAAAGAATAGTGGTCTCATTATATTATGTATTTTCAATCTTAATTCTTATATTGATATAATTGCTTAAACAAATACCCGAACGTAAGATCAAATACACTCTTTTTCTAACTTTCCAATGTTTTCAGAATCTATTGTATGCTTATTCAGTGTAAAAATCTAGAGTTAATTGTTTTGTGTACTTTTCTTTTTTTCTTTTGCATAACATATTTTTTAAAGACCTCATGAAAGATTACCATGCATTTGTTAAATCTATTTCCTTATTTAAAAAAGTATATGATATATTTTTTATTATTAAGAATATGATTATTTCCTGGGAATATTAACAAACAGTCTTTATTTTATATGTTTTATTTTCAGTTTTTGAAACGAAAATTTTTGTTTATCTGATTTGTCAAAATGACATGTGCATAAAATTTATTGTTACAAATCAACAAATCCCAAAGCCTACTAGAACTCATTATGTAGAAACCACAACACCATTCATATCTGGCTCTGATGTTCGATACCATAGGTCGTTAAATCTTGACCATTTAACTTTCACTTGTTTATCAAACGTTGCAACTGTCAACTTTGCTCAAGTAAACACTTACGATGCATAAATATAGCTTTAACATACATGTTTGAAAGTGGTAACATGTTCTTTGTATTTGATGTAAGATATATTATAAATATAAGTATCCGCTGGACCCGTCTTTCAAAATATGTGATGTTTTATTAGATTTACTTTTAAAATAAACATTTAATAAGATTAAATTTTAGAATATACATATGCGACCCTCGAAAACCGGTATTGTTACAATAAATACAGAACTATATGTGAAATACACCCAACATTGTGTTTTTTTCAAAATCAAGGGCCCTAAAAATAAACTAATCATACCTTCTCAATTGAGTACTGAACTCACTGTAAGCTTACAATATATATTTTAACATTCCATTTTGTTATCAAGGATCGTGTGGTAAGAAGAATCTAGCATTAAATAAGAAATGTGGACAAAGTTCATATAAGGATGGATCCGCATGTGGTTTGGCTGTTGATGGGAATTTCAATACCGTTATACACACAACATATTTCTGGAAGAATAATGCTTGGCACGGCGAAACTAACCCGTATTGGTGGGTTGATTTGGAAAGCAGTTGTGTGGTAAAACTAATCAAAATATACAACAGAAAAGATTGTTGTGGTAAGTTTTCTATAAAATGCAACTATTTGGGGCGTTTGACCTTGTATGAGAAATCTCGATATGAATGATTTTAAGTACTCTGTCTTGACTACTAGTATATGGCAAACACGATGATTTCAATTAATTTTCATATTAATAATTTCATATATAATTCTTGAGTTGTAAACATACCACATGCCCCAGCTCATTGTGTTTCCCAAATGATACTAAATTTCATTCTTTATTGCAAGTTTACTACTAACTTTTACTGCTTCAGAAAGGTTAGAAGAACGAAAAAAAATGTTTTTTTTTATTCTAAGGCCGCCATTATGGATAGGTTGTTTTTACAGTGTGTCAATATCTCTACTTTATTTTGACATTTTACTTATTCCCAGGAATGTCAATATCAAATCATTAAAATATTGAGAATCGAAACGAAGAATGTGTCAAAGAGACAACAACCTAACAAAAGAGCAGAAAACAGCCTAAAGCCACCAATGGGCCTTCAACGTAGCGAGAAATCAATGTGGAATAAACAAACACACAGCAATACGCAATATTGCCGACTTTTGTCACATAAAAAGATAACTGTATTGTATTTGAAGTTTGACCTGCGTAAATTGTCGCAAAATGAGTTTACCTACCTAGCAACCAGGTAAACGGATATTTTTGACAGTAAAACAATATTTTACGTAAACCAAGCTTCAAATACAATACGGTTATTTATATTCTAATGCAAAATAAACAATCAGTCCATTTTCGTCGTCATTATTTTGATGTAAAATTTTCATAAAACGAAAATTCATCTTATTGTCAACTTAACAAGATGACGTCATAGGTACGCTTCCGGTGTCAAACGAAAACACCAGTCGTGTACGCTTCAGTTACGCTTCAAACTGTTATAAAATTTGACAAAAAGATGACTTTTTAGGTGAAAAATGTGAGTTATTTGTTTCTTATTGAAGAAATCACATGTCATTACATTCCAGAATTCAAAATGTCGGCTTCCCTTAGTTACAGACAGGTAGATTCCGAATTGTACGCTAATCATCATCCAATCAGAACCATTGATACAAAACAAATTGCATTTTAATTCCGTATCTTTGGCAATCTCTGGCACATAGTTCATATCCGTTATGTACGTGCTTCTTAAAATACTTCACTTAATACAAGTATTGAGTGAAGTGTTACGTAATATAGAACGGAACGGAAAAAGATCTCTGCGCCGGAGATTGTTTCTTTGGAACTTATTTGGTGTGACATAAGAATAGTGAGACGACTGGTGCATGATTAGCAGAAGATGTTTACAACTAGTCAAACCTGACAAGAATTTGAATATCGGTATACTAGCTTCATATCTAAAATGTACAAACATGATCATGATATTCAATAAGAACTTAGACTTTGGAAAATTAAGTTTCAAGAATTTTTTTGAAAACAACAAACAACTATACTTTATTACCGTGGCCATAACGATATTAAACATACACGTATAGAGGAAGTACAATTACCTCAAGAAAAAACATGAAACCGTTGCCATTTTGAATCCTACTTATTTATTTTAATGAATGATTTGTGTGGTCTATATATTTTTGTAGGTAAAAGATTCCGCAATGTTGAAGTTACCATCGGAAATTCATTAGCTTATATGAAGTTTTGTGGGTATTATAAAGGAACAGCTACAAAAGGAGAAATAATATCTATGTCCTGCAGAGAACCAATGGTAGCACGTTACGTAAAGGTGATGATGAAGGACCAGAATACAGAAGATACAATACTAAATTTTGCGGAAGTTCAAGTGTTCTCTTAGAAAATAAAAAAAGTATCTGAGATATCTAAATGGAGTTTGGTTCTTTGTGTATTTTGTTTCATTGACAATAACCCCACACCTCTTATATTCATGACTTCCTTTTTGTGATTTCCTGAAAAAATTTCGGGCTCATAAAAAACTCATCTTACCAGGCTTAAAATTGTGAACGGCAGACGTGCGTTTCATCTGCAAAAGATTCATCAGTGACGCTCGAATTTAAAAAAGTTAAAAAGGCTAAATAAAGTACGAAGTTGAAGAGCATAAAGCAAATGCTTTGTCATTTTGTTTTTCCTTTCGTCTTCTTGTCCAATACAAATTATTTCCAGATGATAACTTAAGAACCCCTGGCTTGGTTGGAATGCTACTTACACAGATGGAAGATATATAGAAGGGGACAAGTCTGTTTATTTGAGATTAATAGGTCAAAGATAAAGTCACTGTTACTTAAAATAAAAAAAATATATAAAATATGGTTTCCGGATGGTATCTTGAGTTTCTCTTGCTTGATTGGATTGAAAAATATTCAGATGAAAGATATATGGAAAGAAATAACCTCATCTTATCAGATACCAGGCTTAAATTGTTTAAAGCCAGACGCGCGTTTCGTCTACAAAGACTCATCAGTGACGCTCGAATCAAAAAAGTCATAAAGGCCAAATCAAGTACGAAATGGGAGAGATTTGAGGACCAAACTTTCCGAAAGGTTTTGCCAAATGAAGCTAAGGTATTTTATTCCCTGTGTAGAAAATTCTAAGTATTTCGTAAAATTCTAAATTTTCATCAGGTAAACAGTCAATTTATAAGTATGACCATAAGGTCAATGATACAGTTACAAAATATATATTTTTACAAACATTTGGTTCCAGATGGTAAAGTTAAGTTTCACTGGAATGATTGGAATGAAACTTGTGCAGATGTAAGATATTAGAAAGGGAAAGAAGCCTATTGAATTAATGTCATCCGATTAAGGTCAATATCACTGTTACTATGTAGCAACATTCAGGCAGCGTCTGTATATAGATAATAATCTCCAAGTTGATAATATATTCCAGAGTTTGCATTTCCTATCATGATTTCCATGATAGAGTGTTGCTTCCTACAAGGAAGCTATTAAAGCAATGGTTCCAATTAATGAAGTTGAAGTCATCCTTTCGAAAATTTTACGGACGCCATAACGAATTGACTCATGTGGAGCAGGATCTACTTACCCTTCCGGAGCACCTGAGATCACCACTGGATTTTGGAGGTGTTCGTGTTGCTCAGTCTTAAGTTTTCTATGTTTTGTGTTTTAAGATTTTTGTTTGTCTTTTGTTAGTTTTTCGGGTTTTTTTGTCAGTTTATAATCCTTTGTTAATTTCCGCCTCTCTACTTTACTAAAAATAATAACATTTTTTCTCTCGAAAATCATGTTTCCGGATGGTTCCCTTGATTGATTGAAATGAAGCTCAGATAAAAGATATAGGAAAGGGAAAGAAGCCTATTGGTTTGTTGGTCAATGGGTTGAAGATCAATGTCACTGTTACTAAAAAAATAATTTAAAAGTTTGTTTCTGGATGGTAATTTTAGTATTATTTTATGGTGTATAAAAACACTTGTATAGATGGAAAATATACAGAAGAGAAAATCCTATAATTTTTAGATCAATGGGTCAAAGATAAAGGTCAAAGTTGATAAAGATAGACTGAAAATCATGAAAAATTGTTTGCAATTTGTTGTTTCTGGGTTATGTTGGATGTTTATCAAACCTATACAAATTGTTGAAGAAGGAAAAAAGGTAGGAAGCCTATGGTTTTAGGTCAATAGGTCAAAAGTCAAGTCATAGTTGCTCAGGATAGCTGTAACTAGTATGAAAATTTGATTTTTAGTTGAAATCTCCTAAATACATCTTTTTATTTTTCTTGCACATTTTTACTTGGCATGTACCTCCAGCCAGTGTAATGGGAACCCCTGGCCAAAATCAAGGGCCCAGAAGGTGTTTGGTATAAAAAGACTTTGGAGGAAGCATTATAATAACTCATCTAAGATACCAGGCTTCTTATTCGGTATTATGATATGACGGCTATTCAAAAGCTTATAAAAATTGAATAAGAATCTTGAATCAGAATTTCTAGATGAAATGTCTCAAGATATTAATTTTAAATATTCAGGAAAATTATCAGCCATTTGTCCCTCAGGACTGGCAAACTAGTCTTGTACATATAAAACAAATATATAATATCAGCTTTCTTACTCTCTTCGTTATTCTTTACATGTCATCAGATGATGTAAATTATTTTGAATAACGATAAAAAAAAATATACAGGGGGAATCAGGGTAAGTGGTCGTCTTAAGTGAAGAATTGCATAACTTTCCGTAAAGGAGTTTGCAGAAAGTAATGCTTATGTACCGATCTATTACATATTAACTCACTTACTTGCCTTCTTGTAGTCAATTTGAGCACTTCGGTAATTCCAGTATATAGATATTGTTGATGGCATAAGACAAACAAATGGTACCACGTACCCCAAAAAATTGGGACACCTTTGTATAAATGTATAGCTGATCTTTGTCGATATATTAAGTGCTCAATTTTGTAATAAAAACTGTGGAAACATCGACTCGAAAAAAGTCCTGTCAAATTGAATCTAGATTTAGCTGCATTTGCTAATACACCTAACTAAAACATCTGAACTACTTTATTTTTATGCCCCACCTACGATAGTAGAGGGGCATTATGTTTTTCGGTCCGTCCGTCCGTTCGTCCGTTCGTTCGTCTGTCCGGCTTGAGGTTGACATTTTTGGTCGCTTGAGGTTAAAGTTTTTGGTCAAGGTAGTTTTTGATTAAGTTGAAGTCCAATTAAATTGAAACTTAGTACACATGTTTCCTATGATATGATCTTTCTAATTTTAATGACAAATTAGAGTTTTGACCCCAATTTCACGGTCCGCTGAACATAGAAAATGATAATGCGAGTGGGGCATCCGTGTACTATGGACACATTCTTGTTTAGAATTTGTTTGTATTCATGTTTGTTAGAATATTATGCCCTAGTTGAAACGATGAGACGTTCGATTTCTTTCATTAATTTTTGTGTAAATTATTTTTCGTTGTCAAGTATAACATGACATCATAGAACAAGGACCTGCAACGTGACGGTGTGTGACGTGGTTCTAATATTAAGATCAGTCGGTTTTTTTTAAGTTGATATGAAATAATCATTTGCTATTCATAAAATTATCCTATTTTGACAACTTTATAGAGCATATTGAGTTATTTCTACAATATTTTCAGAGAAAACTACACATTTGTGATTGGAATGTTAACACAATTTTTATGAAGTACTAAGAGTTGATTTATTTCGATTACTTACAATTAAATTGAACATAAAGTGCGACACTGCTCCTGAGACTGGTGCTGACCTTGAATTTTTCCCCGCTGTCAACGCGTCGCAGATGTCTTACTTTTCAAATTTTAATTTTAAAATTAAGAGAAACAACTCCTACAAAACGACTTTACTTCAAAAATTAAACTTAGGCCTATGTGTGCATACAGATTCTCCTTACGTGTAACGTGAGGCTACACAAATTGCACCTGTTTTGACCTTTTTTCACCTGCGTTTATTATCCATCTTTCACGTTACTAACGTACCCATAGGGGACATGGGGCCAATGTTCTTGACATCATAAACAACTATAACTGCTTTTTTTCTCCTAAATTTAATTAATTTGCATCTTGTCGTGTGGTGTTGGGTTGTTGTATAACTGTGGTTAATAACACATCTCATTTTAATGATAATTGTCAGGAGACGCTGTAAAAGAAAGACGGATAATACCGAAGGGAGAATCAAAGGGTTGCCAGTTTTGAGAGACGAATTATATCAAAGGGAGAATCAAAGGGTTGCCAGTTTTGGGAGACGGATGATATCAAAGGGTTGCCAGTTTTGAGAGACGGATGATACCAAAGGGAGAATCAAAGGGTTGCCAGTTTTGGGAGACGGATGATACCAAAGGGAGAATCAAAGGGTTGCCAGTTTTGGGAGACGGATAATACCGAAGGGAGAATCAAAGGGTTGCCAGTTTTGAGAGACGGATTATATCAAAGGGAGAATCAAAGGGTTGCCAGTTTTGGGAGACGGATGATATCAAAGGGTTGCCAGTTTTGATAGACGGATGATACCCAAGGGAGAATCAAAGGGTTGCCAGTTTTGGGAGACGGATAATACCGAAGGGAGAATCAAAGGGTTGCCAGTTTTGAGAGACGGATAATACCGAAGAGAGAATCAAAGGGTTGCCAGTTTTGAGAGACGGATTATTTCAAAGGGAGAATCAAAGGGTTGCCAGTTTTGGGAGACGGATGATATCAAAGGGTTGCCAGTTTTGAGAGACGGATGATACCGAAGGGAGAATCAAAGGGTTGCCAGTTTTTGGAGACGGATAATACCGAAGGGAGAATCAAAGGGTTGCCAGTTTTGGGAGACGGATGATATCAAAGGGTTGCCAGTTTTGAGAGACGGATAATACCGAAGGGAGAATCAAAGGGTTGCCAGTTTTGATAGACGGATTATATCAAAGGGAGAATCAAAGGGTTGCCAGTTTTGGGAGACGGATGATATCAAAGGGTTGCCAGTTTTAAGAGACGGATGATACCAAAGGGGGAATCAAAGGGTTGCCAGTTTTGGGAGACGGATAATACCGAAGGGAGAATCAACGGGTTGCCAGTTTTGAGAGACGAATGATACCAAAGGGAGAATCAAAGGGTTGCCAGTTTTGGGAGACGGATAATATCAAAGGGAGAATCAAAGGGTTGCCAGTTTTGAGAGACGGATTATATCAAAGGGTTGCCAGTTTTGAGAGACGGATGATACCAAAGGGAGAATCAAAGGGTTGCCAGTTTTGGGAGACGGAGTATATCAAATGAAGAACCAAAGGGTTGCCAGTTTACCTGCCGAAGGTCAGTGGTTCTCTTCTTATACTCTGACTTTCTCCACCAACAAATAGTCATAATATAGCCGAGAGAGCTAAGTGTCGTTAAACAACAACAAGCAAATGAA